GCAAAAATGAGCCAATATATACCGTAGAGATATTGGAAAAAGATACCAATGTTGTATAATGCCAAAATCAAACAAAAAAGACAAAAAATGTAAAGAAATGAATTCAAAGACTAGATTATTTGCCATACCATACTCTGTGTCATTTGTTCAACCTTCATAACCACATAAAAGCAACTTTTTTTTGCCCAACTTTTTTTTATTCACACACTCGCATCAGTTTGGGGTTCCCAGAGGATGTCATCAAAATACTAGTAATGAAATCAACTTGGCCTTGTTATAAGCTCAGTCATGATGCCTACACCAACAAATCTAAAAGGACGAATCACAGATTATATGATACACCAAAGACTACATGATATTTGTACTTGGGTTTTTAAAGAGTATGATAGTTTGCCAATACTCTCATAGGCCTCTTGGAATAGTCAGTTGATACATGTAGTTGCTGTGATGATGATGATATATATGGGCCAGCTGACAGATACGAATTTGATCAATTGGTTCTCACTTTTTTTTCTGATTTGGAAAAGAAAAACTTTCATGCTCTGAATCAACTTAAAAATGCTCATGTTTTGGCCTGAACTGTCAAAGGAAGGCCCTTTTTGTTACAGTTTTTCCATCTATGATCTATCAAGGCAGTGGTTTGACAACAAGTTCGAAATTCAATTGTTTGAATTACAAGTCAGCCAGATATGTTGACTTAATGGCTCCTATCATAAGCATTTGGAGCTATTATTCACAGGATGCCTAGACGGTAGACCTGTTTTTTTTTTTCGCCCATATTTTTTTTGTAAAAATCCAAGTATCAACCAATGAAATTGGTGTGGACTAATGACTGACAAATCATAATTTAAATGTTTGATTGATTATGTCAAGCAGATAATCATCTAGATACAGTATAGTAAAAATTAAATTATTCTCCAACTCAACCAACTCAAACAAATCGCTCAGTCTTCATCAGCTTTCTGAATCTGAGTGACACAAGAGCTACATAGTAACATAGACACATGATTTTTTCCCATGTGTGACATCAGCACACAAGTTTGTCAGAAGTCGGTACTGTCTGTCCCAGTCAATAGAAGGATGATATTTTTGATTCCTGAGGGATTTTTCAGGACAGAAGCCCTTCAACGTACGTACCTGACTTTTATTTTTAAAGTTGAAAGCAGGTGTTCTATCCAATTGCCAATGTTCAAAACCTGCGTAGGCAATTGACGGAAAAATGATAACTTCCAAATGCCACAAGAATGAAAATATTATATGTACAATATTATGTTTACCACCACCACATTACAGTCTCATAAATGCCACTACCCCAGCTCTGTGTCCTCTCATGACATAATAACACGATTTCATTTGAGAAGGAAATGAAAACAACAGCATGCATACATAATACGCATGGGTATCTGTATGCATAGTAAATATAAATTTGAGATATATGTACATTGATATTTATGGCTTCACCACTATGTGTTGAAGTCATATTGTTTTTTATCACGTTCTTCTCCTCCTCCTCCTCCTGCCATTTCGTTAAATGGATTCAATTTCTTCATTTTTGAGCCAAATGACATGAAATTTGGCATGAAGGTAGAGTAGCCAAATACCCCCAGGCTTTTTTTTTTTGAAAAATTGTTTTATTTGGGTTTTTTGGCCATTTTCAGGCAAAAAATATACATTTTGGGATCTGGAGCCCTGGTAATAAAGCTAAATGACCTGAAATTTGGTATGGGGATACCTTGGGTATAAGTCTACAAAAGCTCATTTGAGCTTTCGACACACCACTTCAAAATTGTGGAAAAAAAGGGATTTTGGGCTATTTTTTGACAAAAAAATGTACATTTTTGGCTCCTGTGCCCTACTATTAGATCCGAATAATCTGAAATTCGGTATGGGTATACCTTGAACACATGTTCAAAGAATGTCATTCACGCTTTTGACATACACTACTTTAAAATTGTGTAAAATAGGGCTTTTTGACTATTTTTGGACAAAAAATGTGCATTTTTGGTTTCTGTACCCTAATATCAAATACGAATGACCTGAAATTTGGTATGGGGATACCTTGGACACCTATCCAAATGATGCCATTCATGCTTTTGACATACACCACTTTAAAATTGTACAAAGTAGGGTTTTTTGGCCATTTCCAGACCAAAAATGTACATTGTGCCCTAATTATAATATTAACCTGATTGCAGCCTTCTCAAAACAAGCCGGCTACCGGCGAAAATCGCCGCCTACTCAAATTTTTGCGCCGGCTACTTTCGTGTAAATTTTCAGAAAAACAATGTAGTCTCCGTTACATTTTCTCACAAATTCCACCAGCTCATTTCTTCCGACGAACTTCAGACAAATTTCTGCTAGCTTTCTGGATCTGAAAACTGCTTCTTTCTTATCTTCTTGTGCAGATTTCTAGTGCACGAGTCATCGTTTGCTTCTACGAGCGGCTAGAGCGGCCGAAACTTTACAGGGGGAGGGTCTTGTTCGGGACTCGAGTTGTATCCGCGGAGCTGTATCGCTCGAGCTAGGCGGAACTTGCTTCGTAAACTCGTTGCTCACGAAAATTTATCAAGCCGCTACCTTCCCAACTTCTCCCGGCACTAGTAACATTCCTGCTACAAATAACTAGTACAAATCACGTCAAAAAATATCAAGACATGTACAGAAGCGTGTTCATATCTTTCATACACAGTTAGAAACACAAGACAAATTTTCAAAAACAAATCGCCATCAGCGAGATTTCACAGCTGTTTCATTCATCAAAATTTCTTGTCGATCGTAAAATGATCACTCATCTGTTGTCTCCACTAGTGTGTCATTTGTAGCGTAATCACGGCGAGCCAAAAATCAGCGTCAAAACTAAGAAAACCCCGGAATAAAAAACGCACACTCCGCATCGCTGTACAGAAACAGGAGATTTCAGGCGCCATCTTGTCATGAATAAGTAAGTAGCACCACGCGATCGACGCTCTGATTGGTTCACCTCACATGACCTGCGTTCTGATTGGATAAGCGATGTGGCTAGCAGCATGCAGCGCGGGAATATTTTTCTTCGTCGGTGACACATTTACGCTGCTTTCTACGTTTTTTCTACGACTATTTTGCAACATCCTATTAAAGAAATGCATAATGAAAAGAATTTTCGGGAAGATATATATTTCTCTACGCCGATTTTTGGCCCTTTTCTCGTAATATTCTTGTTCAAGGAACCCGGAAGTCAGTGTACCGGGACGCGGGGTGAATTTC